CATACTTCTCAGGCGCAAAACAAAATAATTGCAAGGTGAGAAATGCCCTTCGTTTGTTGCAGAGGAGAGGGAGGGGAGGGGGAGGGGGGGAGGAAGAGATGGGTGGTAGGGAGAGGGAAGGATAGGGGGAGGGAGAGGGAGAGGGGGATGGGGAGGGAGAGGGGGAGGGAGAAGGAGAAGGAGAGGGGGAGGGAGAAGGAGAGGGGGAGGGAGAAGGAGAGGGGGGAGGAAGGAGGGACAGACGGAGAGAGAGACTCATGGGTTAAAGAGAGATTAAAAATGAGAAGGGAGATACTTACGGACAGACAGACAGACGCACGCACGCGCGCGCGCACAAATACACACACACCGTAAAAGCAATAATCTTGCCATCTCTTTTTTTCCGAATTTATTTAAGTAAAACTAGTCCTTTCCTACCCCACAGTCTGTCGAGAGACCGGAAGCCTCGATCGAGCCTGGACCTGAAATGCGTCGGTTCTCGCAGGGTGAGTGCCGGATGCCCTTCCAGCGGCCCTCGTTCGTGTGGGCTTGTAGTGGCTGAGTGCAGTAGTTTGCTAGAGTTTTCTGTGTGTGTGTGTGTATGTGTATGTATGTACATGTAAATACACATACACATACACGTACGTACGCGCGTGTGTTGTGTGTGTATGTATGTATATATGTATATATGTATATATGTATATGCGCTCGCGCGTAAATGCGTGCGTGTCAACATGCTACCCGATACTTGGTGGTTCCCCCTTCCCTCATTATCATAAACACGTATTTTAGTGCCTTTATAGTATAATGCTGTAGTTAGATTTAATGCCATTGTAATGCTGCAACTTACACTGATGCAGGTGGTCTATTTGCTGTTATTTACACAAGATTATTGTTGAAATTGGTATAATACCATTTTCACGAAGTGCGTCTCAGCTATTGCATTTTTATCCGTTGTAGCTGAGCAGATAATTTATATTTTTCCTCCTTTTTTTGCGTTGTTTGTCGTTTTCTTTTACACGAAGGACGAATTACGTGTGCTGTGGCGAGAGTGATGGCTTCGAGTGACAGTCATTGATGATCATTGAGGGCGACTTCTCTGTATCGACGCTGATGCCTTTGTGCTTAACATCAATGGTTGATGGGTATTGATTATTGGGCTAAACAGTTTAGCCGGAATGGTGTACGTAATAGCACGTGTACATATGTATGTATGTATGTGTGTGTGTCTGTCTCTGTCTCTGTCTGTGTCTCTCTGTGTCTGTGATATTTTTGGTTGTTTTATAACTGAATGCCAAATAAAAAACTTGGTAGAAATAGGATATGTGCATTTAATTTATATGCATGATATCTCATTTTGTTGTTTATCAAATTCAGAGAAAACCGACTATGAAAAACACTATATATGTATCGTTCTTGTGGGGTAGCAACTGTTGGTTCTTATATATTCCAAATAATGATTGCATTTGTGTTCTGCATATCAATTCCCGATTTGATATTTATGCCAGGAGTGCCAAACGTTTAAGCCAAAGTATTAAGCTGAATATGAATACGATGGATTTCATGACGTGCAACTCAGCATCCGAATTTCTTTCTTTTATTCATAGATTAGGCAAACAACATAGACTAACGAGACATGCACACACACACACACACACACACACACACACACACACACACACACACACACACACACACA